CGCGGCGCATCAGCTCAACCTTCACCCCAGGGTCTCTCGGCCCGCGATGTCCCCAGTGTTACTGTGGACGGGGAAGGTCGGCGATGCGTCTGCGTTCCGTGTCTGGGGATCTCGGGCGTTTGTCCGCGACTTGTCTGCGGACAAGCTGTCCCCCCGTGCTGCTCCCTGTGTCTTCCTTGGCTTCCCCCCTGACGCTCCAGGGTGGCAGTTCTACCACCCCTCCTCTCGTCGTGTTCTGTCCTCCCAGGACGTCATGTTCGACGAGTCAGTCCCCTTCTACCGCCTCTTCCCCTACCGTACTCCTTCCCTCCCCCCCCCACCGGACTTCCTGGTGCCAGTTCCCCCCCCGGTAGACCCCCTCCCCCCTCAGGTTCCTGCCCCTTCAGGTGTGTCCCAGGTAGACACAGTCGAGCCAGTCGAGGTTGCTGCTGAGTCTGGTCCTGCTGCGGGTGCAGAGTCTGGGGGTGCTACGCCTGCGGGTGCTGAGCTTGGGGGTGCTGCTGCTGGGGGTGCTGAGCCTGGGGGTGCGAGGCCGGGGGGTGCTGAGCTTGGGGGTGCTGCTGCTGGGGGTGCTGAGTCGGGGGGTGCTACGTCAGGAGCTGCTGAGCCTGGGGGTGCTGAGCCTGGAGGTGCGGAGCCTGCGACTGCTGGGCGGGAGCCGCTCTCTCCACAGGAGCTGCGCGAGTGGTTTGCTCGCCGCTGGAGGCGTGCTGCTGGAGCTGGAGCTTCTTCGCCTGCTGAGGGTGCTGCCGGTCCCGGAGCTGCTGGGCCTGCGAGTCCTACTGGAGCTGGAGCTTCTGAGTCTGGGGGTGCTGAGTCTGGAGCTGCTGAGCCTGGAGGTGCTGAGTCTGGAGCTGCTGAGCCTGGGGGTGCTACGTCTGGAGCTGCTGTGCCTGGGGGTGCTGAGTCTGGAGCTGCTGAGCCTGGGGTTTCTCCTGCTGCTGCGTCTCGCCGGGAGCCCCTCTCTCCACAGGAGCTGCGCGAGTGGTTTGCTCGCCGCTGGAGGAGTGCTGCTGGAGCTGGAGCTTCGTCGACCGTCGAGGGTGCTGGTGCTGCCGGTCCCGGAGCTGCTGGGCCTGCGGGTCCTACTGGAGCTGGAGCTGCTGAGGGTGTTGGTGCTGAGACTACTGCTGTCTGTCCTGGCGGTGGTTCTGCTGCTGGTGCTGCTGGAGGTCCTGCCGCTGGAGGTGTTGGTGGCGCTGGTGCTGTCGCTGAGGGTGCTGGTGCTGTCCCTGCTGAGTCTGGAGCTGCCGCGCGGCCTCGGCCGTACTTCGTTCCGCTCCTACAGCAGGTTCTTGGTCTTTCTCCTTCGGTAGAGTGTCCACAGCCTGTCCAGTCGCAGTCACTGTTGGAGCCTTCCTCTCCTCTGCCTGCTCCCTCTCCGTACACTGGTCCTACTGGAGGTCTTGCTGAGCGTCGTGAGCCTGCGTCTCGTCCCGCGTCGCCGGTTCGTGCTGCTCGCGCTAGTGGTCGCGGTTCGCGTCAGCGTCCTCCTCCTGTCCCTGGCACGCACCGGATGTCTCTGCGTCCGTCCACTGCTCCTCTGCGTGCCCCCTTGCCTTCTCCTCCTGAGTCCTCTCTTCCTGCGCTTGCCGACCCTGAGTCGGACTCTCTTCGCGCTGCCAGTCCTACTGTCACGCGTCTGCTTGCTACTGTCGTCACTGACCCCTCTTTTGAGTCCACTGCTGCGTCTGCTCTAGTCGCTGAGCTCGTTGACTTTGCTGCTCGCTGTCGTCTCGACTACGCTGCTAGTCTTGTTGCTGAGTCTGCGTCTGTCTGTCCTCCGTCCGTCGGGGGTGAGTGTGCTCTTGGCACGGACGTCCTAGAGGACAGGCAGGAGGAGTTACAGTGTCTAGCGGCTGCTTCACCTCATCTCGCGTCTGTACTGCTTGCCCCTGAGGGAGACCCGGATGCACTAGACATCCCGACTCCGCGTTCTTACGCGGAGGCCGTAGAGGGTCCCTACTCCTCTCAGTGGCAGGCAGCTATGGATGCAGAGATGGCTTCCTGGAAGTCCACAGGCACCTACGTTGACGCGGTTCCCCCTCCTGGGGCGAACATCGTCAGTGGCATGTGGATCTTCAGGGTGAAGCGGCCGCCGGGCTCTCCACCTGTCTTCAAGGCACGGTACGTTGCTCGTGGCTTCAGTCAGCGGCAGGGAGTTGACTACTTTCAGACCTTCTCTCCCACCCCGAAGATGACCACTCTTCGGGTGCTGCTGCACATAGCCGCTCAGCGCGACTACGAGCTTCACTCTCTCGACTTCAGCACTGCGTTCCTGCAGGGTAGCCTGCACGAGGAGATCTGGCTGCGCCGTCCACCTGGCTTCACTGGGACTTTCCCTCCTGGCACCCAGTGGAGCCTCCGACGGCCACTCTACGGTCTCCGCCAGGCACCGCGTGAGTGGCACGACACACTGAGGACTACGCTTGCGGCTCTTGGGTTTGCTCCTTCTACTGCTGACCCGTCGCTGTTTCTGCGCACCGACACTTCACTGCCGCCGTTCTACATCCTCGTGTACGTCGACGACTTGGTCTTTGCCACAGCGGACACTGCTGGACTCGCCTACGTGAAGTCCGAACTGCTGAAGAGACACACGTGCACAGACCTGGGTGAACTGCGCAGCTACCTTGGCTTGCAGATCACTCGGGACAGAGCACGCCGCACCATTACCTTGACTCAGTCACACATGGTGCAGCAGGTCCTTCAGCGCTTTGGCTTCACGTACTCCTCGCCTCAGGCCACTCCTCTGCCTACTCGCCACTCACTCTGAGCTCTGCCTTCGGATGAGTCCGTAGAGTCGAGTGGTTCGTATGCAGAGCTTGTGGGCTGCCTCATGTACCTGATGACCTGCACACGACCTGACCTTGCATACCCTCTGAGCATTCTTGCACGCTATATTGCTCCTGGGAGACACAGACCAGAGCACATGGCTGTAGCGAAGAGGGTATTGCGCTACCTGTGCAGTACGTCGGGCATGGGGCTCGTGCTTGGAGGGCGGAGTCCAGTGGTCCTTACCGGCCACGCGGACGCTTCTTGGGCTGACGACCAGGCTACGCAGCGGTCGTCACAGGGTTACACCTTCAGTCTTGGTTCCGGCTCTGTCTCGTGGCGGTCTACTCGCTCGTCTTCGGTTCTCGGCTCCAGTTGTGAGGCTGAGATCTACGCCGGGGCCATGGCTGCACAGGAGCTTCGCTGGCTCACCTACCTGCTGACTGACCTTGGAGAGCCACCTCGTTCTCCTCCAGTGCTGTACGTAGACAACAAGGCCATGCTGGCCTTGTGTCGAGAGCAGCGCTTGGAGCACAGAACGAAGCACATTGCTCTCCGCTACTTCCTTGCTCGTGAGCTGCAGCAGCGTGGTCAGTTGCGACTTGCGTACGTGGCCTCTGAGGCCAACACTGCTGATGTGTTCACCAAGGCACTCGCGCCTTGTGACCATCAGCGCTTTTGCACCCAGCTGGGTCTTGTGCCTGTCTTGCCTCACTTGCTCTCCTCTTGACTTCACTTGTACTGTGACATATATATATACCTGCTCTTGCTTGTCTAGTTTTATATATATGTCTGTACTCCTGCATGTGAACTGGCCTCTGGCCCTGCTCTTGTGCTCGGACTGTGTGGTGACTTTGTGATCCACCCTGAGCTTGCTTTGCTTTGCTTGACTGGTCTTGTGACCCCTTGTTCTCCCCACTTTGCCTATGGGGGTGTGTCAAACATTATATATGTTCTGCTTGTGTAGGCTACAGTGGGTTAGCCTATAGGGGGTACACAATTCTAGGGTTTCCTACTTGTACTCATTTCACTGCTAGTTCATTCATTCCTGTTCGCTTATTCTCACAGTAATTTCATTATGCCTTGTTATTTCCCATTTGCCTTCCCTTCCTCAACCCAGCTTTGTCTTACTTTCCAGGCAGTCGAGCTCAATATGAGAAGTAGACTGATATTGCTTGTGACTTACAGTATAGGATACATAATGTCTTGGTGATTTAGGTTTCTATTTCATCTGCGGTTAATATGCTTTGTTAGTTGGCTTCGTGTGTGTGTGTATGTGTGAATGTGTATGATCATGTGTATGCGTTGTGTTGTGTGCGTATGCGTTTTCATTCATGTTTCTATTGCATTAATAACACATGTCTGTGGGGCTTAAAAATTGGGATCAAACTGTCATTTCCGAGAAGGTTCTTTGCACACTCAGTGAGTGTGTCCATTCGAACTGGATTTGATGGAATCGACCCGTTTTTTAGATCACATAGATTGTGTTGTTTCATGTAACAGTTGGATGATTCAGAAATTATGCTATTGAGCTCCCCCCCATGCTAGGCAGGGGATGCGGTAGCATAGGGTCTGCGTTAATTAACTGTTACGCACTTCCATCATGCTGTGTATTTATTTCATTACCGGTAGTATATGCATTATACTTATGCATTTGCATTTACTTCATTCATCTACTTATAACATCAGACATATGCATCACGGAATAAACAGTTACGCGTTCACAGTTGGGCAACTCATGAAATATAGGTTCAGTCAAAGTAAACTAGGAAATGAGAAGGAATGTGGTTCAGCACATGGTAAATTGACGCGGCAGATACATAGCAGTCAGTCACTTAGCTAGTACGGTACCGTTCACTTTATTTTTTCCATCCTTTATTTTTTAAAATATTGAGGATTGGAAAAAAAAATGTACATAACGATCGTAATAGGTTGCTTCGCAACCCAAAAAGAATCACAAGACGCTGTTGCTGACGGGAGGCAGTATCAAATCGTGTTGTAGCCTCAAGAGGTACCGGTACATGGCTTTCAAGAAATCCATAAATTTACTGCAACCTCTGCTAGCCGTCACTGGCTGTGCCACAGCAGCTTGAGCGTGTTGTAGGGCGTGAGGTGCTTGTGGGGGAGGGAGGAGATGGCCGGTGAGATGCGGAGGAAGCAAGCTGTCAGCTCTCAATGCTGCTGCACCTGTACGTGAATGCAGCAATGTAATTCACTGCCTGCAGCCGCTAGTGGCCCTGGAGCAGCAGCAGCTTGAGCGTGTGGTTGGGCGTGAGGTGCTTGTGGGGGAGCGCCTGGCCGGTGCGCGGCGAGACAGAGTTGGAGAGCAGCCAGCGCTCGATGCTGCTGCGCTCGTATGTGAATCCGTCCGCTGCCACCACGGGGTCTGTCATGCGCTTCTGTGGGGGGGGTGAGAGGAGAAGGGGGGGATTGGGTGCATGGGCATGGGGGGAGAATTTGAGGTTGACTCAGGAGCAACGGAGTTGGAGAGAAGCCAGCGCTTGATGCTGCTGCGCTCGTACGTAAACCCGTCCGCTGCCACCACTGGGTCTGTCATGCGCTTCTTCTGCAGGGGACGAGGTGGGAGGAGAGGAAAGGGAAGGCAAATGAGGTAAGCGGATTGGGGATCTTAGGTGAAGTTGTCTGCTGCCACCATGGGGTCTGTCAGGTGCTTCTGGACGTTGGGAGAATTGGGTGGCAGGTGAGGGAACGAGAGGAGCGCATGACAAGGCTGGTTCTGAGACACTTCAGGATCAGCCACCCCACCACCAGCTTTGACATGGGTTTGTTGAAGGGACAACACTCACATGCGACAACTCATGAGAAAAGGAGAATGACCTGCACGCACCTGCGACAGCGGGCACATGCACTGCTCGTCGAAGCTCCTCCTCCTCTTCCCCATCTCCACCTCCGCCTCCTCCATCACCTCTCCCATCGCCGGCTGTACCACCTCCACCAGGTTCGGCCGAGCCTCCCGCTGCCGAACCGCACACCAGAGCGCCAGCTCCGTCAGCTTCCGAGCCACTGGCAGGGGCCATTGCCCCCCCGAAACATCAACCTCCCTCACTATCTCCTCAACAGTCCGAGCCAGCACCCTCGTACTATCCATCTCTACCGGTTGAAACCCACCACCACGCATGCCCACTCCTCCCAACCCTACCCCACCCATGCTCTTCCCTATCCACTCCTGTATCCTCCCCAGCCTCCGATGCAACTCCTTCACATTCGGCTCTCCTAGCAGCAGCTGCAGCGCTATCAGCCCAAACGCGTATACATCCGAAAGAACCGAAATCTCACAAGTCTCAAGCTCCTCCGGGTCTATATACCCCACTGTGCCTCTCACACGCGCGGTTACATTTTCCACGTCACTGAGTAACCGCGCGAGGCCCACGTCGGCGACCTTAGAGGCGAGGCTTGTATCGAGGAGAATGTTGTCAGGCTTTAAGTCCCGGTGCGCTATGGGCGGGTCGTTCTGGTGAAGGTACATCAGCGCACCAGCCACCTCGGATAAGATTCTCACCCGGTCAAACCAAGTCAACGGCTTTCTCCCACCCCGACCGCTCCCCCCTCCCCCACTGCCACCACCCACACCACCCGCACCAACCACACCACCCGCACCAACCGCACCACCCGCACCAACCGCACCACCCGCACCAACCACACCACCCACACCACCCGCACCACCCACACCACCACCCTTGCTGTTCCCAGCAGCAATCACATCAAGAAAATCCTGTAAGCTCCCTCCAGGCAGGTACTCATACACAAGGCTCATCTCATCAGGGCAGTGACCCATGAGCAGCACTATATGCGGGTGCCGCATCCTAGACAACACCTCCACCTCCATTCTATACTCCGCACTGCCCTGCCACCCGCCGCCTTCCAGCCGTTTGACTGCCACCATGCAGCCTAAGAGACGTCCCTTGTACACCGTGCCGAATGAGCCTCGGCCGAGCCTGTTTTCTGCTGCCCAGTTGTTGGTGGCTCGGGTGAGCTGGTCCGGGGAGAACTGGCGGCATTCCACTGCGGTCCCTGCTGTGGGGAGAGGTGAAAGGCCTTCTGCTGTGGGGAGAGCAGAAGGGCTTCCCTGTCCTGCCTCGCCTCCCTGTGCGCCTGTCACGGTCCCACTGCTGTTGGTGCCTCTGCCCTGCGAATTACCCTGCGAAACGGACCCAAAACCACCGCTGTTGCCCTTTCTGCCACTGATGTTCACGCTGCTGCCGCTACCCCCGCTGCTGCTGCTGCCGCTGCCGTCCTTGTCGCCGCTGCTGCTGCTGCGCCATCTGCTGCCAGGGTTCCCTGCAGCGGAAATGCTTTCAGCAGCAGCAGCAGCAGCAGCAGCAGCAGCAGCAGTAGAGGCAGTGGCAGGAGTAACAGCAGCAGCAGCGGGTGCAGAAGTGACAGCAGCAGCAGCAGCAGCAGCAGCTGCACCTGCTACCACACGAGGTCTGATGACCGCCTCTTCCTCCTCGTCGCTCTCATCATAAGCTGCTAGCTCGTCTTTCAACGACATGAGCGATCCACTGCCTACCCCAACCGCTCTCACGCGCCCTGCAGCTGTTCCCGTTGCTCCTGCTGCTGCTGTTGCTCCTGCTGCTATAGCTGCGTCTGCTGCTGCTGTTGCTGCGCCTGCTGCTGCTGCTGCTGCGGCTACCCTGGCTGAAGCCAAGGGGGAAAGGGACGAGTTACGTGGCACCTTCTCCTCCACCCCTCCACCCACACCCTGCAAGCCACCACTCCGGGTGACGATGAGAGGTGGTCCATAATCCGCCCCGCTCCTTCCTCTGCCTGTACCCGCCGCTTCACCCGCTGCTTGCAAGCGCCCTGTTCTCTCTGCTGGATCCGTTTCATGCCTCTGCAAAACCGCTCTGCCTGTAGGAATGAACTCATTCACCGCTTTCCCCTCGTACGCCGCTTTCCCGCCCACTCTCCGGCTCACGGGCGCGATATCATACACACCCCTCTCCTGCGAGCCCTCCGTCCTGCCTGTGGGAACCGGTGCGTAGTCCGTGATGCTGTCTCTCGTATTGCTCCTCCGGACTGTGCCGCCCAGCCCGCCTGGCTCCCCTCCCCTGCTTTTGCTCGCCTCAGCCCCTCTCTCGTACACTTGAAAGCCCTCGGCTCTGCCAACAGGAAAAGGTTCATAGTCCGTGATGCTGTCTCTCGTTCTGCTCCTCTGGACTATGCCGGCCCGCCCGCTCGCCTCCCCTCCCCTGCTCCTGCTCGCCTCACTCCCTCTCTCATGCAGAATCGCGCTGCTGCTGCCGAACCTCCCGTCGCCGAACCCCCCGTCGCCGAACCTCCCGTCGCCGGACCTCCCATCGCCGAGCCTCCCGCTCTGGGAATTGCCGTCAGCAGCAGGAGAATCCCAGGGCCCTTTCCCGGCTGATGAGGGTCTGCCGCTGTCAAACGAGCGTCTACCAATGACCTTCATTTTCTGCTCCGATCTTCCCAAAGCCACTTTCGCTTCTTTCGCCTGTTTAGATTCTTTCGCTTCTTTTGATTCTTTCTTCTGCTGCTCGGCCTGAATCTGCAACCAGTCTTGGGATTCGTGAGAGGAGCTGAAGTGGATTCCCTGGGAGCTGAAGTGCGGATAGAGGTTCCGAAGCTGGTCCGGTTTGGATCCCAGGTTGTTGACCCATGATGCTGATTGGCCGCGCGGTTCTGTTACTGCTGCTGCTGACGTGTCATTGCCTGCCCACAATCGGCGCGCTGCTGAGCCGATGGGTGGAGCCGGCGCCAGGTCAGATGTCGCGGGTCGTGATTGGTTGGTGGATGAAATGTCCAAGGAGCGACGCGGGTCAGATTGATGCTGTGGTTATAAGAACGCGAGGGACGGAGAGGGACGAATGAGAGGGAGAAAGGAGAGAGACGAATGAAGGAAAGAGGGAGTCTTATGAGGCGCCTCAAAAACTAGTGAGGTTGGATTGATGCTGTGGTTATAGGAGCGCGAGGGAGGGAATTTCGAGAACCTCAAGAAGAGCGACGACAAAAGAAGCCAGATTAATGATGCGGTTATAAGAACGCGAAGGAGGGAGAGGGACGAATTAGAGGGCGAGGGGAGAGACGAGCCTGAGGAAGAGGGGGAGGGAGGGGAGACAGAAATACGTGAGGGATCAGGAATAATATAGCACGCCTGGGGATGTGGAAGGGTGTCCGGGAGAGAAACGAGACGGGGGAGATGGAGCAGGCGAAGAAGCGAGAGGGAGAGCCATGGAACAGAAGCTTTAAGACTGACGGTGAGATGACGGCGTGAGAGAGGGAAAGCGATGGTGAGAGGGCAGGAGGAGAGAGAGAGGGAGATGAGATGGCGCGTCAGGTAAAGAAAGCGACGGTGGATGCATGCGCAGCGGGAGAAAGATGTGGAGTGCGACAATGATAAAGTGAGTGCGGCGCGTCTCGCTTGCTTCGTTCCGACTTCTTTTGTTCTCGATACTGACCCATATTGCAATCAACTGTATCGGGTCACGTCTTTCGATAAAACAATTTGTCTCAGCCTGATATTTCATCAGATACGGACCAACTACCAAATCACAAGACCAAAAAAAAAGAAACGTCGGCTTACCGAGGGTGAATCTCGTGCGGACGGAAATAGCTGCGAATCGTCGAAGGCGTCACCGCGCTTCCGAATAACCACCGGCTTTCCCGCCGAGTGATGCGCATCACCGCCTTTTGGACGCGAAACACCACCACTTGTGCTGCTACTACTTTTTATCGGCGACAAAGCGCTGTTCGGTGACACCTGGCTTTCCGACGAACCTCCGCCAATTCCGGCCGTCATTTGCAGCCCTGAACGTCTCCCTCCTACATGCGACGCAGCTGGATTCGACGAGTTCGCGATGGGGACGACGCGAGACTCATCTTCTAGCGAGCCTGTTCTTAAATGGGTGAACTCCCGCGGGCCCTCCGGTGACAGCAGGCGTTTGTCGTGTCCTAAACCCTCCGCGCTTCGCCATGGGACAGGCGACACAGAGGACATCATTGGCTTATATATCGGGTATCCCTCAGGGAAGCAACAGAAGCTAAATGGGACTTCACTACGGGTTCTACGATGGACTGGGGTTGGGAAGGATGCGGAAAGGAAAGCTACAACAATGACTGGCAATGAACAAATGAAAGAATGGCTGCTGGAGTTCGAGCGTGGAGTGGAGTGGGATGGGATGACGGGAGGAAGCATGTGTAGAAGCTGCTTTCATCATGACACATTGCTGGCACCTCGAGATGAGAGATGAGATGAGATGAGACCAGCCACCTTCTGCTTCGCTGTCCCGTCTAGCATTCCACAAATCAGCAACTAAGGCTCACCCACCCATAAATTTTCCCCAGAAAAAATGGAAGGAAGGTGAAACATGGAGGGGAACCGTTGGGGCTGGATAAAAACATCCCTGCCTCTAAAATCCGGTGGGTATTGTCCTTTTGGTTCGGCTTCGTTGGGTCTTTCCGTTGCACTCCCCACCGCCATTCCTTGGAGCCATGTTACGGTTTTTTACATTTGGCATTTTGCCTGGTTCCTGCTGGCGCTGCCGCGGTGGTTATGGCTCCAGCCAAATCCACGTCAACTTCAGATGTTTTGGCTGGGCCCCTTAGAAAACCATGATCCTTGTCATCCAAATTTTGGCCGGGCACCTAATGGAAACCATGATTCTCATGGGAAACAATCTGTTCCGTGATCCTAAAAAGTGCGGTCCGTCGCTACAGAACAAAAGGACTGGAAAGTACTGGAGCCTAGGGGAATCTGACGATCTGAAATCGGGACGAATATCGGGACCTTCTCTCTCCCGAAACAAGTCAGGACTTTGGGGTGTATTCCAGAATCTCGCCGTGGCATACCTTCTACAAGGGGAACTGAGTGTCCCCATCGCTTAGGTGGCCCCTAAGCGACTTCCTATCTGTAGCCCTCCTTGTCTCTGGTACTTGACGGTAGGGTACTGTAATTAATGAACAATATTTCCACTTGAAACCTGTATATTATTGTTCGTAGTAACCCTTATGTTCTCACGTAAACTGTACATGCTAGAATATTTGGGCTGTACTCCAGCAGCAAAAAAACTGCAAGTTGGCAACAACAACACTTTTTGTTGCCAAGCGGGTCGGTTCAGGCCAGCATTGAGTTCCTCGGTGTTTGGGAGGAAGGGTCATTTTCGTGTAGTTGTCTTCGAGCGATTCTTTCTAGAGAGGAATGTTATAAGCTGTGAAAGAGAAGGGCAAAATTGTTCCCCATAGTGGCGGGTTTAGGGTTGTGCAAACCTTCAAACGAACCCTCGACAAAAAAAAGGTACATCCCGGCCTAAGGAAGTTGTGCACACCACCTGAGATAGCATCGATCGAAGGCGATCCATGATTTCTTGGAAGGATGTCTAGTCGATGCAATTAGGGGCAATTTGCCTATTGCGATCAATAACTTGATCTGATTTGATTCATTTACTTGATCCAGCGCAATCGATTGTGATCAGTAGATCTGGTTGGATCGTGTCTCCTTTGAAATACCGGCAATAAAGAATTACCCCAACCAAACTTTGCTTGGGCTCGCCCCTTATGTAAATGAATGAAGCCCGAGGTCAGCATGGCAAAGTGGTTTTTGTATTTTGGGCTTAAAAACATTATTTGGCAGAGCAGCGAGAATTGTATTTATTGAGACTACCCTGGCGAAGCTGTCAGCAGAACAAACGAGAATGGTGAAACTAATAGCATGCAGGAGTACAAGTAGTAGGTACATTCCGTTCAGGACATGTCACAAACGTATTTGTGACTAATTGTGATACGCCGAAAATCATCAACAAGAGTATCCAACCACTCCTGATAAGACATCTGGCTAAATCGCGACTGTTTATGGTTTGAAGTTTCACAATTAGTCACGATTATGATATGAATGTATCACAATAAGCCACGAACATTGTTTTCGGAGTATCACAATTAATCATCGGAGAGTCACAATTAGTAACAAATACGTTTGTGACACTTTCTTTTGTGACATGTCTTAGCGGAATGTACCCTAAACCCTGATAGGGCTGTACCCCATATGGGCTACCCCACTACAGCCTACACAACATGATAGTTTGACACACCCCCATAGGCAAAATGGGGGAGAACAAGGGGTCACAAGACCAGTCAAGAAAAGCAAAGCAAGCTCAGGGTGGATCACGAAGTCACCACAGACTCTGAGCACAAGCAAATGGCCACAAGGCTAGTTCACATGCAGAGTTATATGATGGAGATCAAGCAGTACAGTGATAAAAACATAGCAAGTGCAAGCATGCAGATATCTATGTATAGATTTCACTATAAGCAAAGTCAAGAAGTGAACAAGTGAGACCAAGTAGGCACAAGGCCTAGAACAGTACAGAAACGTTGATGATCACAAAGCTGAAGTGCCTTGGTGAAGATATCAACTGTGTTGGCCCGAGAGGCCACGTAAGCAAGACGAAGCTGACCATGCTGCTGCAACTCTCGAGCAAGGAAGTAACGCAAAGCGATGTGCTTCGTCCTGTGATCTAGTTTGTGCTCCTGACACAAGGCAATCATGGCCTTATTATCGACGTACAGAACTGGAGGAGAACGAGGCCGCTCTCCTGAGTCGGTCAGCAGGTAGGTGAGCCAGCGTAACTCCTGTGCAGCCATGGCCCCTTCGTAGATCTCAGCCTCACAACTGGAGCTGACAACAAAAGACGAGCGGGTAGACCGCCAAGAGACAGAGCCGGAGCCAAGGCTGAAAGTGTAACCCTGTGACGATCGCTGCGTAGCCAAGAAGCGTATGCGTGTCCAGTGAGGACAACTGGACCTCGTCCTCCAAGCACAAGCCCCATGCCCGACGTACTGCCCTCTTAGCGGCCTTCTAGTGCTGTCGTCGGTGTCTCCCGGGCGTAACGTAGAGTGTTAGAATGCTAAGAGGGTAGGCAAGGTCAGGTCGAGTGCAGGTCATCAGGTACATGAGGCAGCCCCCAAGTTCTGGATACGGGTCACTCGGCTCTACGGACTCGTCCGAAGGTGGAGCTGAGAGCGAGTGACCGATAGGCAGAGGAGTGGACTGTGGCGAGGAACACTCGAAGCGAAAGCGCTGAAGGACCTGCAGCACCATGTGTGACTGACTCAAGGTAATGGTGCGCCGTGCTCTGTCCCGGGTGATCTGCAAGCCAAGATAGCTGCGCAACTCATCCAGGTCTGTGCATGTGTGTCTCTCCTGCATCTCCGACTTCACTAGGGCCATTCCCTCAGTGTCAGCAATGGCAAAGACCAAGTCATCGACGCATACGAGGATGTAGAACGGCGGCAGCGAAGTGATAGTGCGTAGAAACAGCGACGAGTCAGCAGTGGAAGGAGCAAACCCAAGAGCCGAAAGTGTCGTTCTCAGCGTGTCGTGCCACTCGCGAGGCGCTTGGCGAAGACCGTAGACTGGCCACCGGAGGCTCCACTGGGTTGTCAGAATCCCAACCACTT